CCATAAGTACAGCGTATTTTGCGGTATTTTACGGGGTATTTTCATTCTACCATATTAGGAAATGCGAATTCCAAATATGGAACGATTACGCGTGTAAGCGCCCTCTAATAATAAAAACAAAACATGGTTGCCACCAGAGTTTGACCGAACTCCACCCAATGAAGTACACTGATTCTTTTCTAAACTTTTTGGATTTCGGCATTCCCATGGTATATCTTTGGAAGGAAAAGATGTATAATAATAAGCTTATTACGAGAACACCTCAAAGTATGCACTCAGACAGTACGTCGCGCATCGACTTCCGCTGATCGTCGGTCGATAATTCAGCTGTACTGTCTTCGTGCATACTTTGAGGTATCCTCGTAATAACCTAATAGTAATAAGAACAATAACAGAGAAAATAAAACAGAAGTAGTTCAAAACAATTGAGTTTCTCTTAACGGACCCTATATGATAAAAACCTTTATGGACTAGAAATGGCTTTTGTGGTCCACGGTCACAAACTTCCGCCGTACGGCATCGGGCCGCAAAAGCCGTATTTCGTCCATAAAAAATAGTTCGCACAATATTCTACCTGAAATGGTATGGACCACAATAGATGTACAAATATATACCACCAATAAAGGGAGGTTGCGTCGACGGACATGTGGTTGGTAATTAGGCCCATAGTCATGTCACCACTGGTCATCGTCCAACTAGACAGACGTAGAGATTTCTCGTATACGTGGTTCTGTAGTAAAAAGTACAATTATTTTTATTATTTGTTCTATACCCTTAAGAAAAATGTTGTTAAAAGTGTCTAAAATACCCCCAGCTTTTAGTGCATAATGTATACGTACTTTACCATGATTGCTTAAAATAAATAAAGTCTTTGTTTTTATTTTTGGGGTCATGTCTTGTATCAGTGTGCCATTATTACAACATAGGCTATTTCCACTGCGCCATTAACATTAATTATTTCCTAAATTCGCTGGTACTATAAAGCGAAAAAAGCATAATGAAGGAACAGGTCGTGCAGTTCGGCCAGCTTTGAAAAATAGCGAAAGTGAAACATTGCCAATCTTAGTTGGATTTGACATTTTGACATTTTTTATAACTGACAATTAGCGGCGATCGATGACTGTGACCGAGATCTGAGAATTCTACTTAGTTAGTGAATGTTTACCTGCAGTGCTGTTCATACTGAATTAGTGAAGGTTTACCTGCAGGGCTGTCCGTACTGAGTTAGTGAAGGTTTACCTGCAGGGCTGTCCGTACTGAGTTAGTGAAGGTTTACCTGCAGGGCTGTCCGTACTGAGTTAGTGAAGGTTTACCTGCAGGGCTGTCCGTACTGAGTTAGTGAAGGTTTACCTGCAGGGCTGTCCGTACTGAGTTAGTGAATGTTTACCTGCAGTGCTGTTCGTACTGAGTTAGTGAATGTTTACCTGCAGGGCTGTTCGTACTGAGTTAGTGAAGGTTTACCTGCAGGGCTGTTCGTACTGAGTTAGTGAATGTTTACCTGCAGGGCTGTTCGTACTGAGTTAGTGAAGGTTTACCTGTAGGGCTGTTCGTACTGAGTTAGTGAATGTTTACCTGCAGGGCTGTTCGTACTGAGTTAGTGAAGGTTTACCTGCAGGGCTGTTCGTACTGAGTTAGTGAATGTTTACCTGCAGGGCTGTTCGTATTGAGTTAGTGAATGTTTACCTGCAGGGCTGTTCGTACTGAGTTAGTGAATGTTTACCTGCAGGGCTGCTCGTACTGAGTTAGTGAAGATTTACCTGCAGGGCTGTTCGTACTGAGTTAGTGAAGGTTTACTTGCAGGGCTGTTCGTACTGAGTTAGTGAATGTTTACCTGCAGGTCTGTCCGTACTGAGTTAGT